CAGTTCAAGCCCCAAAACTAGCATTCCCCAAAAAAGAAAAAAGGTTCAAGTCACCATCACATATCATTATTACAAAAATCATAATCCCTGTCCATTTCTTCTCCAAAGTACACTTGCCATGCAAGAGCATCTCAGCTCCTCCAACTTAAGTTACTTTCATCTCTCATTCAACTACAAAAACTTCCTCGTTGGCTTATTTACTACTTATTGCCATGATACTTTCAAATTCTTCCAATAGCTTTTCTCATGCCAGAATAAAGCCAAATATCACAGAACCTGCAATCTGTCATTGTTAATTCCTGCCACAGACTTGACCTTTCACCTTTCTTCGCCTTCCTCACTAAACTTGCTAATCCAAACGAAGTCCCATTTCACTCAGGTATTTCTCAAATGATGACATTTCAGAAGCATGTTGTCATCCTCCTCCTCCAATAAAACATTATTTTCTTATTCCATGGTTCTTGATCTCTTCATTCCCTTTTATTTTTTTACAGTATTTTATTACAATCAATACAGTCTATCTGTTTTTTCTTACTATTAATAATCAAACTCTAAAGGTATGTTTCAAGATAGCAGGTATCATATTGGACAGGTTTATCTAACCATTTAGTACACTCAAAACTAGAGTGTCTAGGAAGTGGTGCTGTGGCTCAAGTGGTAGAGTACTAGCCTTGAGCTGAAGAGCTGAAGGACCAGCAGTGCCCAGGCCCAGCGTTCAAGCCCCATGATCAACTAAAAACAAAACAAAAACAAAACTAGAGTGTCTAGCCTATAGTAAGTATGCAGTAAACTTGCTGAATGAAGATCCAAAATATTAAAAATGATTCAATTTGTTAGTCTAATATGCAGTGAGACCATATGAACTTACGTTTTAGGGACAGTTAAGAATAAAAATTAATCCTGAAAAGCATAGCAAATCATAAAAAGGAACCTGTAGGCTATGCTAATGTATTTTACATTCTTTTCTCAGAGTAAAAGAGAACCACTAAGGCATTTTGTGTGTATATACATATACACACACATACGCACAGATAGATATATACTTATTAACTTGTTTTTAAGCAGGGGAAAAAATCATAGAGACTAAAATGTAAAGATGGGTTTGAGGGTTTTAAAGACTAAGTAAACACATGAATTGTGAGATTCTGTGGTAACTGGCTGGAATAAGGGAGAGGAAGTGGATGACAGAAGTGAACACACATGAGATACAAAGTAACTCAACTGAACTTGGGGTTTTTTTCTGGCATGATATGTGGTTATGAACTACAAAATGCATTAACAGAACCTAAGAAGGGAAAGGCAGAAGTGATTACTGCAAACACAAAAGGCCTATAACTTCTACCAATCCCCATGGTTAATATCTATTACTGAAAATAACGAATTTTCAAGCACCACTATACTCAAATTAAATTTTGAGAGATGAAATCTACAGCAAATTTTCAAATATTTTTCATACAATAGTCAAGAAAATTAGAAAACATCTGTTTGGAGCACAATGGAATGGCAACTCAAGATATCAGACTAGAGAGGGTAGGAGGAAGGGAAATCCGGGTGGGTTAATGGTACACAGAGTTCTGATGTTCTACGGTACGGAAGGGTAACTATAATTAACAGTAACTTATTATTTCAAGATAACTAAAAGGAAAAGTTCCAATACAAAGAAATGATAAATATTTGAGGTGGAAGATGTTAATCTGATTTGATCACCACACGTTATGTACAAATACCAAGTATCGCACATGTATATCTATGTTTCCATAATAAAGAAACAATTGCAACCGTTAATTCTGTTTTCAAAGTAGTATTGGACAGTGATTAAATTAATGGATGCAAAGATAAAAACCAATGAATTAAGTTCTTATTGTGAGGAACTTCTCTATTTCACTAATTCGAGGATCAGTAAATCTTTACCAAATACAGACCAGTTTTTCTCAAGCAGTACTAATTGAAATTCAGTCAGAATTAGAAAAATGGCCAGTTAGTTACTGAAAATAAGGCTCCCTTTCCTGTCAATAGCCTCTCTCCTGAATATGAAATGCTTACTTCCATACTATGGATTCCAAAAAATATGTGACTGGATGAATGGTGGGTTATGCCAAGGACCATGATGGCCCAGGGTTAACAGGCATCCTGGAACAATAAATAGGGTCCCTGGAACTCCAAAAGTGGACAGTTTTATCAAGCTGACAACAAAATACATAGGATATTCACACAAAATACATAGGATATTTACAAAAGCACACTTAACATCATGTTAGCACAAATATCATTTTGTATAAAAGTCTAATTCAAACATCTCTTATACAGAGGTAATAATCATAGAGGCAGTACTGGTTAATTATAGTAAATATAGTAGTTATTATACTAAATATAGTAAAGTTCCTGTTTTGTTTAAGCTTCTGCTTATTTTGGTATCATCACAGAAGTATGAAAATATTCAGTTTAATTAAAATAAATGATCTAATATAGACTCAAATTATAACAAAATAGTAAGTAATATGAACAGGAATAAGAAGTTATTGTAAGAAATACTGTAAATCACTATATAGAATCCATACCTCCAAGTATGTCTTTTTTATTCTATCACTTGTAATTATAAGAAAGCTTCAGGGTAAATAATTTCAAGGAGTACAAGTTAAAAGTACTATGAGAGAATAGTCATCAAAAGTGCTATTTTACTTTAATATATAAATTTTAAGAATTTTCCTGTTTCCCTTTATCTACTGCAAAGACAATTTTTTTAAAAAAGGGTTCTTAGATATCTTTTCCCAATCTCATTTTATAAGAAAGTATACAGAAGCATACAGAGAAGTTAGAGCTAACTTTCTGAAAGACACTTAGCTAGTTATTAATTAACATGATCTTCTAATTCAGAAGTCTTTCTCAGAACTAGTTATCTGTAGAAAGGATAATTAGAATAATCTAACAGGTACATACAAGGTCAATTATTATACATTGGTCTATTTGGTCTGTTAGGTGAACTCATTCATTTAGTATAACACAAAACTATACTCTTGGTAACAAACAGCTAGCATTATGTTTTCTGATCATGAAACAGTTGTGTTCACAAAAAAAGAAACAACTTTACTCATATATTTCTTCAAGAACAAACATTTATTAAGGAAAAAGAGGAAGCCTACATGATTTAGCAAATAAGGGCTTTGGTATACATTTCACCTATTGTTTATGTTTTAATATGACCTACCACTAGAATTTACGTGAACTTTTTTTTTCTTCCAAGGAATTAACTTCATCAAATTAATGGAGAATGTTTGGGATATTTGTTTTATTTCTACCAACAAAATAAAGAACAGATTCTCTGAGAAAGAAAAAACAGAAGATGTGATACTCATTTATATAAATGCCAACACATTTATTTGGACACAATAAATACTAGTAGTATTCCCAGTTGTTTTGTTGGTTTTTGTTTTTGTGCCAGTCCCCAAGATTGAACACAGGGCCAGGGTGTTGTCTCTGAGTGCCTTTGTGCTGAAAGCTAGGACCCTACCACTTAAGCCACAGTGCCAATTCCAGCTTTTCCTAGGCAGTTTATTGGAGATAAGAGTCTCATACTGCCTGGGCTGGCTTCAAACCATGAACCTCAGATCTCAGCCTCCTAAGTAACTGATTATAGGCATGAGTCACCGGCATCCAGCTTTCCCAGTTTTTTAATGTAGACAGCTGGTGTCTCGATAGATACCTAGCATGTTCATTAACATGAAATTTTAATAGTAATGCAGGAAAAAAAATGAAATTTACCTTCCAATTCCCATTGAAAAAGATCATGCTCTACTATTATCCAGCAATAATGAGCAGAGGCAAGGAAGGGGAGCTGAGGGAAGAGAATGGGAAGAGTTGGCAGGCAGTGGGATGTCCTGACAATTACTTATGTGTTATCCTCCAGAAAGTATTAAAGATTCTTAAATATTAACTCTAATAAAAGTCTTATCTTAAAAGAGTAACATACGAAAGTGCTCAAAATAGTGTCTTCTAAAACAAGTAAAATTCAGCCCCTATTTTTATTTAGAAAACATTGTGCTGTACTCTGAGGAAGTTCCACTATGGAACATTAATCTTGCCAATGACAGGCCAGGAAAACTACCAGGCACCCACTGGCAATTCAGGTAAGTTGGTCCTCCTACAAATTCAGCTCATCAAGTTATCATTAGTTGTATATACTTCTACACAATCATCAGCAATCGTTAAACAAAAGTTTCCATCTGTCTACACTTTCATCATGACAGGAAGATTTAAAAACTGACCATTACTTTTCTTTTTGGTCGGTCATGGGGCCTGAACTCTGGGCCTGGGCGCTGTCCCTCATACCTTCAGCTCAAGGCTAGTGCTCTATCACTTGAGCCACAGCACCACTTCTGGCTTTTTCTGCTTATGTGGTGCTGAGGAATCAAACCCAGGGCCTCATGCATGCCAGGCAAGCACTCTACCACTGAGCCACCTTCCCAGCCCCCTGACCACTACTTTTGAAAAGTAGATTAACTGATTTTTTTATCCTCCCCCTAACCGAACCCCCCCACCACTTCCGTTCCAAAATACTCTCCCAGTGAAAGATCTGAACAATGTCTGTTGTTCACACTACATTGAATGAGCCATGTTACTTTTACAATCTAAAAAAAAACTCTAACAAGTAACCTATATTTCATTAAGATTGGGAATCTAATAATTTAAGACTAACCTGAAAAAAGGAAATAAAGCTGAGCCCCAGTGGCTCATACCTGTAATCCTAGCCACTCAGGGCTGAAATCTGGAAGATCATGGTTTAAGGCCAGCTTGGGATGAAAAGTCAGGAAAACTCCTTCTATCTCCAAAATTACCAGCAAAAAGCTATTCTGGAAGCATGACTCCAGTAGTAGAGCACCAGCTGAGCAAGTATGCCAACTAAGTGCCAAGAACCAAGTCCTGAGTTCAAATCCTGATACTAGTACTAAACAAACAATCAGGAAAAAGAGACCCAAATCTGAGATTTGGAAATAATTACTTACTGCAGGTACCAGTAATTTCTTCACTTCTTCAACTGCTCTCTTCAGTTTGATTTCTGCTCTGTTCTGAGCATCTTCTACAGTGATTAATACATGTAAATCTTCATTTAGATGCTCCCAGTTGGGCTTGCCTCTATTTTGTTCTTCCTACAAAAAAAAATCGTAAGGTACATTATTACAAATGTCTTTCTTTAAAGAGACAGTACAACTTTCATAAAATGAACATTTATCAGTTACTTAAGTCATACTTCTACTATTTAACTATGATAATATTACAACAATTTTCAATTATTTTCCTGACCCAAAGTAAACAAAGATTGTGTGAGACTATAGAGCAAAACAAGAAAAAAACTCAGCAGGTATTCATAGAGTACCTGCTATGTGCCACTGTTATAAAATTATCATGAAAAACACAAGAAGCCTACTGTTTCCATATTTTCCTTAACAGTGAACAGAAAGTCATCAAGGTAAAGGAAGCCATCTATCAGGATCACACAGCAAATACTTGTCAATTCAAGAGAAGAAGCGAAACAGTTTCATTCTTCAGTTTAGTGGTATTTTCAGTTCCTTACAATTGACTTTAATAATTGGTTGTATTGAACATTATAAAAACCATTTTGCAAAGACTTTATACAGGAAGTGTTATTTGATGAGGTTCAGTGGCTCACATGTCTGTAATCCTCCTACATTCAAGGCTAACATGGGGAAGGATCAAGATTTAAGGCCAGCCTCAGAAAAAAGATCCAAAAACTCTACCTCAAATAAAAAGCTGGGCACAATGCTATGCATCTGACATTCCCAACTACTTAAGTATACAACTAGGATTGCAGATTCAACCAACCTTGCTTAGGCAAAAATCAAGACCCTATTTAAAAAGCAAAAAGTGTGGGAGCATCGGCCATGCAAGTTCCGAGTCCTGTATTCAAACCCCACTACTACCATATACACACAAAATGGTGTTAAATGAATACTAGTTTCAGACAGAATATCCTGTTCTATTTCCTTGATGACTTGTAATCACCAATTAAGGGATAACCCCATACTGAAAGCTTTGCCAGCCTACAGGGACGATTTGGAGATGTGTCCATAGTCCTCCTTCAGAGATGTTATTAGTTATATAATACATAATGTCATAGATTTATTTTAGAGACAGTACATAGTATAAAATATACATTCCAATATACATTTAGAAACTAAAATAGTATAAACTTATAAATAACATACAAATGTTAAACAGTAGTACACAGCTCAAAACAAAGTACCACAGATAAACAAAGATAGTACATGTTGACAGACCTTTACTTTCCTGTTAAGGAAAATAAAGCAGGTGATTGAACTTAACCAATGAGAATGGAAATAAGTTCTAATACTCAAATATATGATTCTACTCTATGTTCAGTTAGTATCTTCAGCAGGAAAATTAGTTTACTTCTTGAAGGACTTATCAGTATTTCTAACCAGTGAATTTGAAGTCAGTATTCTGAGATCACAGGGCCCAAGAGATAGTTGAAATTTCAAGAAAAACAGGTATCAGAGTCTTATAAACTACTAGCTCAAAGTATACCTGTTTCAACATTTGATACTCCCACCTGTCTCAAGAATGCTTCTTAGGAGAGCTAGATTTTTAGCAGTTGCTCTAATAAAAATCAAATTACAACTGATGTAAATACAAGTTAAACTACATGGGAGGTAAATAATAACTGAAACTATGAGCTGGGTGCTAGTGACTCACACCTGTGATCCAAGCTACTCAGGAGGCTAAGATCTGAGGGTCATAATTCAAAATAAGACTGGGCAGAATAATTCCCAAGACTCTTATTTCCAATTTTCCAGCACACACAAAAAAATAAGAAGTAGATCTATGGCTCAAAGTGGTACAGCACATGGGCCCTGAGTTCAACCCCAGTACAAGCACAAGAAGAGGAAGAGAGGGAAGGAAGAAAGGGGAGAGAAAAAAGGTGAGCAGACAAGACTATATATTTCTTTCTGCCTAGGGAATACCATGGAAAACTGAGTGGCTAAGGCAAAGAATATAAAATAGGCATAAACAACGTCTGCAGCCCAAAAAACACCCACAATTTTAAATCCAGATTTTTTGTTGTTGTTGAAGAACAACCAGTTATATTTTAAGATTACCTTTTCTGCTTTGGTAAAAGGAAAAAAAAGCTACTCGTATTATCTGGTGAACTTAAAATGTGCCTTCTTGTCTAAGCCATACATGTAAGAATATTGTGCTTCTTGCTAAGCAAAGTAAATACCAAGAACCAGACTCAATCAACCTGATACAACCAAAAAGTATGTGATGATGGTTTCAAGCTACTGGTAATCAGGCCACAAAGAACAATGATAATGGCGTTAAAATTGCTCAACAGACTGAGAGTATCCTATCCAGAGTTCCAGGAGACCAGAGTGAGAATCCAGGGACTTATGAAGGCAAGAATAATGACCCCACTAAGGGCCTGGTCAAGTACAGACAAACAGTCATGACTGTGACTACATGCCTATTAGGAAAGTCCAGGGGCCAAAGGTCAATGCTAAAATGCCTGGTCCTCACAGTCTACACCAGCCTGGAAACATTTTTATGATCACTAACAGGGGAGAGTTTTGCCATCAGCAGAGGAAACAAACCTAATCCAACTATGGTTGGTCAGTCCATTGTTCCTAAATACATTTTAAAAACAAGACTTAAAGAAATAAAACTGTTCTCAACTAAATTAACTATTGAGAATAAAACTGAAGTATACAAAGATATTGGCAATACTGCCCAAAGCAAACTATAAATTCAATACCCATTAAAATCCCACATCCTTCTTTCAAAAGATAGAGAAAGCCAGGTACCAGTGGCTCACGCCTGTAGTCCTAGCTACCAGGAGGCTGAGAACTAAGGACCATCACAGTTCAAAGCCAACCTAGGCAGGAAAGACTGTGAGACTCTTTTCTCCAATAAACCACCAGAAAGTTGAGTTGTGGCTCAAGTGGTAGAGCACTAGCCTTGAGCTGAAGAGTTCAGGGACAGTGCCCAGGCCCAGAGTTTAAGCCCCATGACCAACAACAAAGAAAGATGGGGAGAGGGAGAAGGAGAGGGAGAGGGAGGGGGAGGGGGAAGGGGGAGAGGGGGAAGAGGAGGAGGAGGAGGA